AAGGTTCACTAGCAACAATTCGCGATTGTCACAGTCGAACGCTTTCGAGAAATCGCAAAAGACTGGTGCAGCCACATTACCATCATTCAGATCAAGAAATAGTGATTCCAGAAAAATAAAAATCGCATTACCTGTATTTAGCTTGAAACTCAAATTGGCAGTCTTTAAGTAATTTTTGCTTCTTTAAAAATGCTATCATCCTGGATTTAACCAGAGAGCAGAGAGCAGAGATATATGGGGCGATAGCATGAAGAATCTTCGGCATCTTTAAAGATAAGTCTGATAATGCTTGGAAGTTGGAAAAATTCAAGTGTTTTAAAAAATGATAAGGATTTATCTCAGAACGTAATTTGTCCATTGGGCCCTGGGCCGCATTGCAATAATATTCATTAAATAGATTAAGCTCAATATCCACATGATTTGGAAGAAAAAGTTATCTTGAGAGTCCATAAATAATTTTCCACAAATCTCCAGGTTTTGATGCTCCATTTGCATTTGACCCACCTTCATAATACATGATGCGTTTAGTACCTACCTTTTAATAATTTGTAATTTGTCTGTAAATTGTTCTGTCCCTGTTAAAATAAATGCTCACAAAGGACAGGCATTGAATGGTATAGCCTTTCCTAATCTATGAAGATACCTTAGGTTTCTCGAAGACGTTTTATATATAATTATCGGTTTATAACGTTCTACGTCTTCCGATTCCCGATCTCCAACCATCTCTGTCAATCCAGACACCCTCCCCTAAGCCTCTCTCTCTCATTTCTTCGTCTACTCCACTTCTCCAGCTTCTTCTTGGTCTGCCGCGTCTTCTTCTTCCCCCTGGCTTCCACTCAATAATTTGCTTGGGTATTCTTGTATCTGCCATTCTTTCTACATGTCCGAACCAAACCAGCTGTTTGTCCTTTAGATCATCTACTATTGTGTGTTTTACTTCCATAATCTCTCTTATTCTCAGATTTGTTATCCTTTCCATTTTTTTACCTGCCTGCTGATCTCCTCCAAAAGTCCATTTCAGTTGCTTCCAGCATTTTTGCGGTTCTGTTCTTTAGTGGCCAGCCTTCTGAACTATATGTGACTATGCTTTTGACTATGGTGTTGTATATTCTAGTTTTGTTGATACTTTGGTCCCACAGTACACCATTTAGTAGGGATATTGCCTTGCGTCCTTGTATATTCCGATCTTTAATTGCTTCGTCTAGGGTTCTCTCATGTGAGATTTTCATGCCCAAATATTTGTATTCAGTACATGTTTTATTTCTTGTCCGTTATTCAATTTCAGAGTTCGTTGTTCACCTCCTATAGTCATATATTCTGTTTTAGTTAGATTTACTTCCAAGCCTCATTTCTCGTATTCCTCTATCAGTTTTCCTGTCATGTAGGTACCTACTCTAGGTCATCATAGTCCTGTGCAATTACGACTTGATCATCTGCAAAGCTTAAAGTATATAGATTGTATCCATTGAGCGGTATTCCCATGTGTCTGCATCTGTTTTTCCACATCTTAAGCGCTTGTTCTAAGTATATTTTAAAAAGTATTGGTGATATGCAGCATCCCTGTTTAAGTCCTTTAGTTGCTATAAAGCCTTTACTGATTATGTTTCCCTGTTTAATCTTGGTCTTTGCATTAGTATAGAGCGTTTTTACTGCCTTTATTAGTTCTAAGTTGATATTGGTCTTTTCCAGTGCTTCCCAAAGCTTTTTCAGCGGAACATTGACATATGCTTTATTTAGATCTACAAAGAGTAAATGGAGTTCTTGGTTATACGCTAGTTTCTTTTCCATTACCTGGGTCAAACTGAATAAATGGTCTACAGTTGATCTTCCTGCTCTAAAACCGGCCTGTTCTTCTGCCTCACTATCCTTGTACTCGTTTTCTATTCTGGCTTTTATGAGTTTCCCATACACTCTGCTCAGCGTATTTGTTACTGCAATTCCTCGGTGGTTCTCGCATTTGTTTCTGTCTCCTTTCTTATATATCGTTGTTAAATAGCTTAATTTCCACTTTTCCGGTACTTTATGTTTATCTATGCATGTTTGAAATAGTTTTGTTAAATGTTTGTAGAGTTTATTGGTCCCATACTTTATCAGTTCTCCATATATTTCTCCTGGGCCTGGTGCCCTACCGTTTTTCAAGAAGCTACAGTGTTTTTTAACTTCTTCTTGCATAACTCTTATTGGTGATCCTGCAGTTTTTATGTTTCGTGTCTGTTCCTTTCCTTCTTTAAACTTTGCCCGCTGTTCTGTCAGTAATTCTTCAAAGTACTCTTCCCATTGCTGGGGTGTTATTGGCCACGTTCACCAGAGCCAAAACGGATTGTAAACAGTTTACAAAAACCAACAGAATATGTGGAGTAAACTCTTGGTTCTGCTGAACGATTCAACTTCTCAATGATAGAACGTCACCTTCTGAATGACAGGTCACCACACAAAACACAGCGTTGAAAATTATGGCGTTTCCGATTGGTAGATTCAGTGCGCACTGAGTGTATTTGCATCCTTTTAATCGACCTGTAGGAGAAAAAGAGAGAAATAGAAAAAATTGCACTAGTTCCGCACTAAATCTACCAATCGGAAACGCCATTATAGACACTCTGAAATAATGCTTGCAAAAATGGCGACCGTTTGCAAAACATGTTTGGTTTTAACACAAATTCAACGTAACGTTCAGCAGAACAATCGCAAACCGTTTACCAACGTTTGTATCTGGTAAACGCGGCCATTGTATTGATAATATCCTTGGTTTTTGTTTTCCTCATATTTTTTAGTAATCTCCAACTTTCTATGTTTCTTTTACCCCCCAGATAATTATTAATATGCACACAGTTTCTTTCCCATGACTCGTTTTTTTTCTGTGCTATTTTATTCCGTACTCTTGCTTGCGCTTCTTTATATATTTCTTTGTCTCGGGTCTTATTTGAACTTAGATACTCTTGGCAGTCAGTGGCGCACCCAGGGAGGGGGCCATCGGGCCAAGCCCCCCCCCCCACCAGGCCGCCCCTCTAAAACTGTATTTTTACGTATAAAAGTGTAGCAACATGAAGGCGTAGCACCCTGACACGGCATTTTTTTTTTTTAGATTTTTAGTCACAAGCCACAATCTATGTAGTGCCCCCCCAAACATATTTTATGGGTGCGCCACTGACTCTTGGTATTTCTTCTTTTTATCTGCTATGTCTTTCTCTATTTCTTGATCTCATCAATAAGGTGAGCCTTCTTCAATTTTTTTCGTATTTGCTTAGGGCTTCAAATGCTGCACTGCAAATACTTTTTTTGATATGGTGGTAATGCATTTCAAGGTTTTGGAAGTTCATACTACTCTGTAATTTTTTACCCATTCTCTTCCCTTTACGCTTTGCTCTCCTAGAGATTTTAGGTTGTATTTCTCAGGCGCAATATCGTCTTCTTGTTTTTTCATTCCGTTTTCTTTTGCGGTGTTTCTGCCCGGGATAAATATTTTTGTTTTCAGGAGGTAGTGATCGCTACCACAGGTCGCTCCCCTATATGCTCTCACATCCTGGAATCTTATGTTTGAGCTCTGTTTTGCGTTTATCAGATCACCAAAAAACATCACTTTTAAGTTCAATGAGAAACATGTAATCAATAATTCCAATTTCTCCATAAAGTTAACAATAGGTACCACCCTTGTCGACACAAATTATGTGCAAATAATTTATGAAATTAGGAACCAACGAGAACTGAAATGCACCCTCCTCAATCAATGTTCATATTTTGTCATATTGGTCAAAGAAAAGTGACTTGCAACATCATCTCTCACAAAATTGATTGTACTTCCATGGGCGGAAGTTTTTCTACAATATGAACGAAATGCACTATAATTAGCTATATTGCAAGGTTCAACATCCCATTGGGATGATGTTAAGAATTCTGTTGAGCATCGTTCTGGCCTTTTCCCAATACTGGAAGACATCCTGGAGGCAATTCTTTTAACCAGGCATAGAGATGTTAAGCATGTGGGTTGATAAAGATGATGTAGAAAAAAAATCTAGAATACATTCTCGCCAAACACATGGTTCCGTGAAAGGTACTTACCGCTAGTAGTAGGGGGAATAATAACGGCAGTATGCATATGAGGTGGAGGTAGTAGACCCTCGAAATCCATAATAAATAAGTTTTGGAGTTCACACTAAACAAGAAAAACGATAGTATATACTACCCTGACGAAATCCTCTTTTGACGTTGAACTCTCCCATTACCTACTATATTTACGACTCGATTTATGGAGCTTTTGTTGGATAGACTGGGTCTCACCTCTATGTTTCTGTTATCCATTTCTGATTCACATAGGATTGAGATGAGTTAACAATGCCGAACTCTATCGAAGGCCTCTTCAAAAATCATAAAGTCCGCATAATGTCGCGTGTTTGTTGGATCCCAGGACTTGCATGGAAAATAAGGTTTTTCTGGTGCTCTCGTGGAGTCTTATTTATAGCTCCTGTTTGGATGATAAGACTCCATTCTAAGACTCAGGTTCCTCTGAGGATCTCCAAGTGTAGAATTTTCTGGGATGTAGTTTGAAAATGGTATTCTCTATTTCTTGGCATAATCCTAGCATCTTTCTCCCTCATTACTCACTCCCAGCAGTCTAAACCCGACCATGCGTGTTTCATGGAAAAAAAAATTAATCCCAAAACTATACCTCAGAAATCCACTCCCAAATGTTTTTGATTAAGATCCTGCTATAAGGATCAGCTAGTACTGGTTAAACTCAAATTTGGTAATAATAAGTCTCTAATTAAGAACATTAGCCGCATACGGAAGTACTTATTTCCCAGTCAAATACACATCATAAAATACTTGCTACAAAAACAGATGATTGTCACATAAGTAATCTAATGTGACCTAAAAATAATTCAAAATGGTTTCACAAACCCTAAACAGGGTAGGTACCTATTTCCTATGAATAGATTTCGAAGTAGCTTGGGCGATGGCAAACATGTTTTACTTTACACTAATTATTATTATGTTTATTCCAGATTTGCCAGCTACTGGCCAATCACCATGCACAGCTCACGCAGCCTTAAAACAGCTAATCGAAAAACTCCTGAAAGAAGCAGTGAATTTGCCTCTATTGGAAAAAGCTCACGCACATCCAGCAATACCCTCTGAAGAAACCACCAATAAAACGTACGAGGACCTTTTAGCAACGGCAATAATTAATAAGGTAACGCACGCTTAAAACAATTGTGCTAGATCTAGGAAATCGTATAGGGACGTTAGCATCAATTAGCTGACATAGTTTTTAACCCTTTGTTGTAAGGCTTCTCAATGACAATTTCAGTCGAGTTTGTGTGCTAGATAATGGCGATTGTATCGATTAAAATTAAAAAATCGCCTAAAAGTAAAAGAGGAGTTGAGCTATTTAACTTTCGTAAAGTGTCAAAATGTATAAGAAGTTTTTATTTATAGGTAATAACTTCTTGCCAAAACAACCTTCCCTCCTCATCGGCTAACAGTGTATCCTCGTCATCGAGAAATAAGGACGGCAAAGAGTACTTTTTCGGTGAAGAAACTTTGGATACAAAATGGAAAAACACTGATTTAGATACCACGTCTGTATCTAGTTTGGAGGAGTGGCTACAAAGCAGCGACAACAGTTTCGGATCGAGGAAATATGTGGATAAAGTTACACTAATGGTGAGCACAAAATAATATGTGAATATTAGTCAACTGATGAATTTTGCACTAGGATAATTATGCTTAATTATTTGTAGATAAAACAAGACATCGAAGAAGTCGAAAATGTTGATTCGGAAAACGAAGAAGACGATGATGCCGAATATTTCCGATCGAGTTCCTCATTACTCGACGACAACGAATCGAATTGGTTTTTACAGAAACGTCATTTTCAAGGTACAGCTTCGCCTGTGCCGGTACCCATGCTAGTACCGAACCCATCATCTGAGGCAAAGGTAATTTTAGCCATCAACAAGGTAAATAATTTATCAAAAATTTGTTCGTAGGTTTTGATTGGGGATAAACCATTAGACGACACCTCAGATCTATCCGACGTCGGATCAGATATTGAGGAATCGGTCCAGCCTCAAACCGCCCAAACGTTACTAATTCAATCTAAAAATCTTATTGGAGGTGCTACGGGAGCTAATCAAAATTACGAAAATGCAGACGTTCAAAGTGAATCTTCTACAGATTCAGGAGTGAAGGAGATGAATGGCAATGCGCAAAAGTCTTTCGATCTTTTAGGGGATTCGATTGGGAAAACTGATATATCCATAGATGATGACAGTAAGAAATAAGTGATTTACGAATACATAATTTTATATAAGTTTTTCTGGGTATAGATGTTGAAGATTCATCATTTATTTCGGTCTACAGCAACACGGAAAAAGAAGCAGAATACACGGAGAGGTACGCATCGTTGCCCAGGCAAATACTTAAACCTTCTACACCACAAAACTCTAAAGTTGCTTTAGAAAATGAAGACGACATTCTAGAAGATACTAGCGATTTCGAGTTCATAGGTGAGTTTATGGTGTAAAATATTGAATTTTTAGTATAAGTTTGTGAATTTTAGGTGGCACTTACAGTAAAAAGGAAAAAGAGAAGTGGACCCATGCAGTTGAAATGAAAAATAATCCTTATTCGAAAGAAAATATTGAGAAGAGGATGAAAAAGTCGAATAGTTCAATAGGATCCATGTAAGTAAAGATTGTAATTCTTCAAGAATTTACCATTCCAGGAGGTTTTTGTTTTCGATCCTTTCATTCAAAAGTCTTTATACCTAGACTTAAGAGAAAATTCACTAAATGAAAAATATTTCTTTTGTAAATTATAAAAATTTTGAATATGTTGCTTTCAAGCAAGGCCTGCCCATCACTTATACTATAAATAGCCCCGCTATGGAGAGTTGAGATAGTTGGGTAAAACCCCTAAATTATATATATTAAGAAGGGGAAATTAGCACCTTACTCTCGCCGGTAATTGCGGACATAAACTTCTTGTTTCGACTATCATTGGACCAGATATGGGTAGAATGACATTAGCACTAGAATGATAACACTCCTAATAAATTCCCATTGGTTTTAGACGTTGAGAATGTCTCTTGTAATCAAAAACTGCTCCTGCTTCCACCGTTACCCCTCCATATCAAAGAATTATTAATTTCGTTCGCAAGTACCGGATTTTTATGCCTTTGAATAATTAGGTTCAAGAAATTGACGCACCTGATGAGAACCTACTCTGGCAATCTCTTGAATTAATGTATTATTTTTTCGCATTTTCGATGCCATCCTTGAATCGAATAATTCCTTTGCTGCGAATTCATTAACTTTATTTTAGGCCTTTCTGGAAATATCTGATCGTTCCCATTCCTTTCAACAAAAAGGCTGTAGCCATCGTATTTAAAATCCTTAATCCTCAACATCAAAAGACAATACATAAATCATACCTTGTCAACCTCCTAAATACGATTATGATAAATCAGTTTTTGTTAATCGCGAATATAAAACAATACCACATCGATAAGATAAACCGCCTAATCAGCATGTTTCTAATGTTTTTAATTTTTTTCCCCAAGAATAAGTGGTATTGTAACTCTTGATTAGTGATTTCTGTTAAAATCGGGATTTAGTTGTGATCGTTCATCAATATAAGCGCTATCGGTGGATTAGAGTTCGATAATGTCTCTGGTGGAAGTTTTTTCCAGAGAGGCTAAACTACGTCGAAGTCCTCATATGTAAGTGATTTCTGAGATGTGTTTTGGTTTAATGGGTCAATTATTATTAGGGTGAAATTATTATTATTTTGTTTCTTCAGTTGTAGCCTCTATTAATTGATTTTTTTTCGGTATGAGACAGCATCTCTTTGATGTGTACGCCATAGGCGTATGATCAGTGAATGTTCATTATCATTTTTACATAGAATCAAACATAAAGTTTAAAAATGCATTTAATTAGAATACATCCCAACCCAACTAACTTAATTAGTCTCAGTTAGAATCGAATATTTATATTATAAGCCTTGAACTGAACAGCGTCGAGATGTTGAGGATCTAGCAATTGCATAATGAATGGACAACTTCATCGATTAGGGGTAGACTAGATTCGAATCAAATAATTTTCAGTCGGACATTCATTGGTGGGTGAGCTGCCTAGAGAAGAGGGCAAAACGTAGGTATCTTCTTTTTTCCCCCGTTCACGTCGTAAATCTAAGTGAAATATTATGAGTTTTTTTCTGGTTAATTTGTTATCATCTATAAAAATTGAGATTGTTTTCGATATACTTAAAGGCCAAATCCTAATATTTCCTTGTAAATCCTATCTTCTCAAGTGGGGTTTACATTTAACGTATAGTAGTTATTATTGCCAAAATACCTTGAGGTAAACTTCAAAATAGTATCGGAATTGCACAATTAAATGTTTATCTTAATTGTATAATGCTTTTCTCATTAGAGATAACAATTTGTTTATTTTAAATTTAAATGTGCCGTATCGGTATCTCAATCCAGTCTATTGACTATTTGTTTTAATGATTCGATTGAATACTGTAAATATAGGTGAGTACCAGAACTGCCATGCTCGCCAGGATAATCCAAAAATTAGTCTAAATACTGAGAGACTAAGAAGAAATACAGTGATAGGCGGCTCACCTAGATACAAATTGAATAAAACTGTAAAAAAGGTTATAACTCTAATAGATCGACGGTGGAGCCATTGATATATAAAATGAAAAATAAATTAGGAGAAGTGGTTGTAAATAGAAAGACAAAGAAGACAAGAAAACAATAACACAGTCAGTCCACCTCCAGGCTAATTAGGTAAGGAGATAAGCCAGCATAGGAGCAGCCTTTAAACAACTGAAAAACTGCAAATTACCCAGGAAAAGTTGCTGGAGACGAACCTCGAGGCGCTTTTTTTGATATACCTAACTAAATAAAGAGGAAGACTGGAATCAATACAAAACCAGCTTCAACCGATATGAGAGCGAGATCAGAAAGGCGAAAAGAAGCTCATGGCAGGAATTCTGTGAGACCATTATGGACATTCATAAGTCAGCCAGGCTAAGGAAAATCCTTTCGAGGAACTCGGCCGTCCTTGGAGGAGTCAAAAATTCTTCCTAGGTTTTGAGGTTGTTTAAAAGTAGATACAAGAGCAATTGGAATCAATCTCAAAAACCGACACAGAAGTGATAAAAAGAATAATTACGAGGGAAAAAGTGGAATGTGCAGAAAAAACCTTCCACCCCTACAAGTCTGTTGGACCGGTCTATGGGTAATGCCAGTTATGCTACAAAAATCTCTGGAAAGCATTGTAGAACCAATGCTAAAAATATTTGCTGACTGCTTAACACTAGAGCATAGACCAGCAAGATGGAGGGAAGTGAAGGTATAGTTTTTATACCTAAATCAGGTACCTCAACCCCAAAAAACTACAGACCAATGAGTTTATCACCATTCTTGTAAAGTCTAGACTTTAGAGAAGCTGATTGATCTACACGCTATGAACAGATCAACATGCATACCTAAAAGGAAGGTCAGTTGAAAGTGCACTGCAAGAAGTAGTTGGAAAAATTGAAAGATCTCTCGAAAATAAGGAGTGTGTATTCCTGGAGATAGAAGGTGCATTCAATAATATAATGATTAAGTCCATTCAAAAATCCATGGAGCACCTGAAGGTAATTAGAACCAATCATTTATACAATGGATAATAAAAATGCTGAAAAGCAGAATCATTTATTCAGAAATTGGTGACTATTCCATAAAGAAAAGGACAACCAGAGGGACTCTACAAGGAGGAGAGATATCTCCACTCTTGTGGCTGTTGGTAATCAATAATCAATATGATCCTAAAAACCTTTAGAGAATGGAGGATAAAATTGATTGCATATGCTGACGACGTATTAGTACTGATGAGCGGCTTCAGCTTATCAATCATCAGTGAAATCATGGAATCAGCATAAAAGAAACTGCTGAGGTCAGAAATGATTCGGAGTAAACCTTCAAAAAACCAAGCTAGTCCTTTTGGGGGACAAACCCTCGATGTATCAAAAAAAGTATCTAGGGGTCGGTCTACTCAAACTTATGTGGAGGAGAAACACGGAAGAATGAATGAAAAAAGGCCCGAATGCAATATACCTATACCTGCAGAAAACTATTCGACAAAACATGGGGATTGCAACCGCACATCATCCATTGAATGTACACTGTGATAGTGAGACCCATTATAAGTTACGGAGCGACAGTTTGGTGGAAGGCTTTTGACAGAAACTTGAACTTGAAAATGCGCACCAAAGTACAGAGAATGGCAGCACTCAGGGAGCAAAACAAATATCATGGCGATTATAGAATACAACTAACTGAAATAATGCACGTGAAATTATTTAACAACGCGGATCTATTCCGTGATGTTTCTACGAACTGTAACATGTAAATCATAATTCAAGAGCCTTAATCGCATTCTTTGCAAGCGAGGTGTTATTAAAACTAAATCTTTTTTCATTATAGACTCCAAAGGCTTGTGATCAGAGTTGATTTTGACATTTCACTGTAAATGAAAAAGTGAAATTTTAGTACTGCAAATACAATAGCCATCATCTCTTTTTGAGCATATTTCTGTTCTGTTGGTGTTAGTGTCAAGCTTCTCGAAGCAAATGCAATTGGATGCCCTTTTTGTAATAAAACGCACCCAGACTGTCTTCGGAAGCACAGGTTTCAATTTCCACATTATCTTCGAAGAATCAAAAAATTTTAGTACAGGGGCAGTTGTTAAGAAATGCTTAAGTTGAGAAAGTGATTGCCCCTGCGCGGTAGACCAGTGAAATGTGACATCTTGCTTTGTTAACTCTCGGAGAGGCATAGTAACTTTGGATAGATTAGGTAAAAATTTTCCCAAAAACTTAGCCATTCCTAAAATTCTTTAGACACCATTTTTGTCAGTCGGATTTTGTAAATCTGTGATAGCTTTTACATATTTTTTTTCTTTTTTGGGTTCAACGCCATTTTTATTTGATTTGGCCCATAAACTTCACAGATTTGGATCATATTCGGATTTAATTATGATTTAAATTGAATTTGTGAACTTAAAGCAGAATTGAAAGCACGTTCTAGAACTAACTGAAGACTGAAAGTTTCTGTCATGATCAAGCTCATGACTGCCAGTTATAATTAAATCGTCAAAGTATATAAAGGTCTACGCCTCCAAGGTCACCAAATATTTAAAACTTCTTTCTTTGGAAGACTTCAGACCCAGAACATATACCAAAAGGCAGCCTAAGAAATCTATAATGCCCAAAGGGCGTACCAAATGTTGTATAATCAATCTGCTCTCTGGTCATCTCATCAATCTTTACGTAGACACAACCATTTTTCATATCAAGAACTGTGAAAGTATTTTTTGTCACACAATTTAACAGCAATTTCTTCAGCTGTAGGTATTAAAAAATATTCGCGTTGTATCGCATTATTTAAATATTCAGGTTCTAAACAAAGTTGCAAATCATGATTTTTTTTCTCTACAATTACTAGCGGGTTCAGCCACTCGGTCAGTAGGACGTTCAATTTTTTTAATTACACCTTGTGTTTCGAGTTGTTCTAACTTGCATTTTAATCTATCATAGGGACCCTTCTGGGAGGCTGAACATGCGGGATTGTGTAATTTTCCTAGGTTATATGGTGGCTTGTGGAAAACTCCCCCAGGACATC